GCACGCACGCACGGGAGCGGCGTTCGCAAACGTGGCTGGGGGTGTTTGGTGGTCGCCACGAGATGAGTGGACGGCATGCGAGAGAGGGTTTTTTTGTTTGTTGTTTTGGGGTTGGACCGCGTAATGGATGGACGCGTCGCCGTTCTTTCGCAATTCCACCCGCGGATATTGACGCGCGCGCCTCCATCGCTCAAGCAAAACAAAAAGCAGAAGCCGTCCCCAAAGGTCTAAATGGGCTTGCCAAAAATCAAAGCGTTCCTTCCCCGTCGGTCTCCACATTTGCAAATCGCTGGCTACCGTAGAAAGAAAAAGAAGCCCGGCTGTGATGCCACAGATTTTGAGCCGTCTGTAGAGAATGAACGACAACGCAGGACGGTCATGTGCGGTGGTTCAGTTGCGAGAGGCCACGTGCACAAGGCAAGTTGCGAGAGGCCACGTGCACAAGGCAAGTTGCGAGAGGCCACGTGCACAAGGCAAGTTGCGAGAGGCCACGTGCACAAGGCAAGTTGCGAGAGGCCACGTGCACAAGGCAAGTTGCGAGAGGCCACGTGCACAAGGCAAGTTGCGAGAGGCCATGTGCACAAGGCAAGTTGCGATTCCGAGCAGATAATGGACCCTGAAAGGCGAAATTAGAATTTAGCGGCGCTAAATAACGCTTGCTTTCACACGCCGCATTCGGTAGGATTTGAATTGGGGGCCGTTCATAAATGACGTCACGCGATTTTGGACGATTTTTGACCCCCCTCCCCCTCGTCACACGGCGTCACAAAAAGTCAGATACCCCCTCAAATATGACGTCACAAAGCTCTGCCCCCCCCCCCCAAAATGCTTCAAATCGCTTTAAACTATTGGCATTGTAGTGCGTATTTAATGTGGCGCTGCACTTTGATGTTGTAGGAGAAAACATTTATTTAAAAGTATATTTTTATTAAGTAGAACGTGTTGTCTATATTTATTTAAAGTTGCGCATTTTAATGTGACGTCACATTTCTCACCCCCCCTCGTCACACATCGTCACAAACGTCTGACCCCCCCCCTAGGTGCGTGACGTAATTTATGGATTGCCCCTTGGTAACGCCGCAATGAAATATGTATTCATAGTTTTATTGCGGTTAAACATTTATGGTCCCTTTTGCGCTGGTCTGTATTACTTATTCACGCTTAAATGTAAGTAGAGTACATAAATGTGTAATTTAGAAGAAGAAAAATGACGTCAATTTGTAAACTCATAATGAACATACTGCTCCGTTGTCTCGCGTCATCTCAGCCAAGTCGAGCCAAGCCCCTCCCCTCGCACAAGGAACCGCGATAACTTGCTGCAAATCATTACCACGTTTATTAAACAAAAATTAATAATAGCGAAATACATTTTACTTAAGACGGCACAGTTTAAAAAAAAATGTGGTCGCGATGAATCTGATGGAAGTGTCACCCGGTGGTAGCGTGACATGCAGGTGCGGTGTGTTAATTGTTGTGCGTTCATTGTGAATTGTCAATGTCTCTGCGCTCGTGTTTGCCTCGTGTTGCCAGCGTGGAGGTGGCGACCGTCGCGATGCGACAGCTCGTGGTGCAGCAGTGCCCTCTGGTGGACACGTCAGAGACTGCGTCGCTATTTCCGTGGTCTCCTGGGTGATTGTGAGGGAGATCAACCGCGGCAGATGGCCTCTGTGCTCAAGGGCTTCCTCTCGTTTGCCTCATGCTGGGTTTTTTTTGTCTGTGTTGTTGGGGGTCCCGGGTCTGAACAACTTTAGGACGATGATGTGTCAACATCTTGTTTTGGGTCCAAGTCTTTCTTCGCATGTCCCTCTGTGCGCAGTTTATGTGGCCAAAGTTTTGCGGCTTTCTCCGTCTGAGCGGTATGTTCGCGTAGGACTGGACTTGAGTGAGAAATGGTTCCACTTCACGTTGGCGCAAGTCCGGCAATTGGTGACATGTATGGGTGAGGCAGTGGGGGATGAGCTTCAGATTGAAGCTGTCACATGTTCGTTTTTGGATAATTAGGCCCCAAATTTGAATCGGTTTCATGTTTGTGGATTAAAATTTGGTAAACGGTAAAAATAATTTTAGTGCACTAAATGTAACTTTTAATATGTTTTATTGCATTGAATGTTTTCACATAAAGTATCATCAAGAAAACAATCATTGTAATGTAAGCTTGTTTATATTTTAGGCTGAATAATCAGTGGTGAGTCATCTGTGAACGGGTCCTGGACCCTGACCAGCGTGGTGAAGTATGGCCAAACATCCCCCATGACCAACGCAGCACGGGGAAGCCCCCATCCAGCAGAGGATTGACAAAGGGCTGTACATTTACATCTTTATATTCTTGGGTCTTTCGGTAAAGTCACGTGACTTTACCGAAAGACCCAAGAATATTAATTCCTGCAGTCACGAAAGCTTTAAGTCGAGATTTTATTTTTGACTTAACATATCTTCAGGAAAAAATTAATGGCATCCTCTGAATTGTTTTGTAATGGGGTGGTTTGGGCAAGCGTTCATCCAGCAGTGGATTTACCATAGTTGATGATGATGATGATAATGAATGCAATTAATGTAGCCTGAAGCAGTAAATCATTCTTACGCACATAAAACCACATTTACATAAATACACACAACTCTTAGCTCTGGAAAATGTTGATAAGAGACTCCAAGTTGGTATTATTTAACTGGCAGACGACATGAGTCATAAGTCCATAGCCAAGCATCCACCCAAACTGGTTCACTGCATATATTCATATTTAGGAAGAAGTGACAGTTTTTTTTATCAGCAGAGAACATTTGCTTCCGGGCCTAATATATATAGTTTAATGGGACACAGCGTTGCACACAGAATAGAAGTTCCAGGGCCCAGAGGCCTCTGCATTCGGAGTGGTTTTGTGGCGACGCTTTGTGCTCCGCGTGAACGCTAAACCAAAGGTTCGAGGAAAATGCGCACCCATCGCCAATGTTCCCGGCCCGGTCTTGCCACGTTTTGCAAGCTAAGCAGGTTCGAACCTGGAGCGCGCTTGGACGGGCGATCGCTGTGCTTAGCGGGTTGTCAGAGGCTGTGGGGGCTACGTGATGGGCAACGCCTTCACCAGCCCGCACTGATGAGCGTGGTGAAGTATGGTCAAATACAATCTGAGATCTACACGGCGTGGGGAGGCCCTCTCCAATACAAGATTGACAAAGGGGCTATGCGTGTGTATATATACACATGAGGTGTGCAGGAACATTCGCCCGAGTGTGATACGTAACTGGGTGTCCATGCAAGGTAAGAGTCACTGTGCAAAAAACTAAACACTGCCACTTACGAATAAGGCTCACAGTTCTGCATGTCCCATACAATTCAAAAGACAAACCAATCATGAGTGTCATTGTGGAGAATGTAAGTGACAACATAAATAAGCAGAGGATACAATTCCTTCCTATGCCTGTCTCTTCACGTAAAAAAAAATCATCATCTAGATTTGTGATTGATTACACATCCCATCGGCTAACAAGGCCTTTTGGGAGTGCATCGCTTCCACAGCATTGGTTCACACAAGCCGGATTGACTCACAGGCCGACTGATGCAGCATTCGTCCCAGCTCAGATGAAGTTACACAGGTCGGGCTGAGAAGTGCCAAGTACATTAACCACATCCCTTGAAAATATTACCTTGAACGAATGCCCAATCAATATCTTGTTTTCATTTAACGTGACCATTGTGTTCTTTAAAATACATTACAAGCCAATTGCTGCAATTATTGGACTACCAAAATTTATCCGAAATGCGGTGTAACTTTAAATGTTTTATATTAAATGCCCAAATGTATGTTCCAAAGAGATAAAGGCATTTCGCGTTCACTCTTCTCCAGTAAATGTGTGTTTTTTTTCTCTCCGCCAACTCATCTTTGAAGTCTCTTGCCAACTCTCCGCAGCAGAGGAGAGTGGAGCGGCTGCCTGCAGCGAGGGGATTTGCACTTGAAAGGAGAGAGAGGGAGAGAGTTCTGCAGCAGAGTTTCTCATTGGCCGCACAGATCCTGGCTGTCACATGGCAGCATTGCCCAAGTTTCATTATTTAGTGCGACAGATTGCTTGCGATTACGTGCCCATGCCAAGCAGCAGGAGCTCCAAATGAAGTTAAAATTATACATAAGTACTCGCAGTCCCAAATGGAAGAAAAAAGTTACTTCCAATGATCTGGGGTGGCATTCAAGTGTGTGCAATGTGTGTATATATGCGTGGTGTGTACTTCTTGTATAATTGGGTGGGATGATAAACACAACGACATTACATTTTTTGCCAGTCAAATCACATTGATGTGTATTCCCTCGGCCGGCTTTAAACTGTCGTATTGTTTTATTTACCAGGTAAGGCCCCCACTGAGCTAGGCAGCTCTCTTTCAGAAGCGACCTGGCCCCAAATGATAGCCTAATGAAGTGACTTATCACGTGGAAATGTATAGCAGCCAAATATTCGTTTCTAGATGTGGAGGGAAAATCCGAGGATCCGGAGAAAAATCCACACGACGACGGGGAGAGCGATATGCAAACTCCAAATAGACGGCAGGCGTCAGGGCTGGGATCGAAGCCACGACCTCGCCAGGCGAGGTAGTTAACATTTCACTACCGTGGCATCCGAGCTTGACCCAACCCCACGCTTTACCTTCAATCTCCACAGCCATTCAGCGATCCATATAATGTTCTGCGCCCACCCCCACCTACAGCTGTGTGATCATCTGTGCGCAGCCGGTGTAATAGTGAACTGAACTGCCCATCACACTCGTGTGCTACGAACGGTCAGAGACAGAGTGTCCTATGCATTCTTCGTGTAGTCCAGATATATCTTACAAAGCAATTACCGCAGGTCCATTGAGGATGGTGTGTTTTTTGTGACGTGCTTTCAGTCCCAGCCTTCCTAAGTGGGTTTATAAAATAAAACATGAGATATTTACACGGCCGATTTTAAGTAACTGCGCTGCACACGCTGCCACGTCCAATTCCTCCACCGCCTGCCTGATGCCCCGTGATCCCCAGGACAGCTTCCCGGCGCGGTTCGGCGGGGTCCACTTTGTGAACCAGCCCTGGTTCATCCACGCGCTCTACACGGTCATCCGGCCTTTCCTCAAGGAGAAGACTCGCAAACGGGTGAGTCATTGCGAACCCGAGCCGAGCCGTGCCGGCCTGGTCTCGGTATGGCCCGGCACGGCACGGCTCGTCTCTTGCCCGCCCGCACAAGAGACGGACCCTCCTCGCCCCATCTCAGCCCCTCCCCCTTTATCCCCCCTCCCTACTCCAGCCCCATCTCAGCCCCCCCCCTCTACCCCCCCCCCCCACTCCATCCCCCCACTCCACCCCCACAGCCCCATCTCAGCCTCTCCCCCTCTATTCCCCCCGCCTTATTTTAACCCCCCCCCTCCACCCCCCACAGCCCCATCTTCACCCTCCGCCCCTCCATCCATAGAGCCAGACACTCACACACGGACGAGGAGAGGGAGAGAGAGACACTCGCTCGACGCCCCATGGGTGCCACTGGTGCAGGGTGCTGGCGCTGTGTGCGGGGGTTGAAATGACGATGCACAGGAGGGTCGGCAGCCTGCCGCGCCTGGGTCTGGGTCTCACCATCGATGGCGACGCGGGAGAGGAGAGTTTGCCCGTCGAAGCCTCCCTCCGACTCGTCTCCCTCGCTCCGCAGCGCAACCAGCCAAATGTGCGCATCACGTGGACATAGTTAAACGTTTTGAAATTTCAAGCGTTCTGACGCTTCAGCCGCTGAATGAAATGGCAGCTATGTTGTGGTTGTGGTTGTTGCGGAGTGCTCGCAACATTTTGCGCGCAGCAGGTTTCGCGCGAATTGCCCGGCAGACTCTCAGCCCGCGTCTTGTTTGAGCCGTCCCTTGATGTGCACGCTGCAGCTGCAGCAGCAGCAGCAGCAACAACAAGAGTGACAAACATCAGTCCCGGTCATTTGTACTGCGTGGCCGACGGCGTTAGTTCGAAATGGAACCGGAACGCGACGAGTGGCCACGTGCGCCTGCGTGCTCCGTGACGCTTCGGACGGGATTGCCGCGCAGGGCACCGCGGGTCGGTTTTTATTAAATTGCGGCTTTAAGACGGAGCTTGCGGTGGGGCGCTTGTGGGCGAGTTTGCGGGGCTGTTAGAATCGCGAGCAGTGTCTCCCTCTGGTCGTCTCGGGTTTTTGTTGTTGTCAGAGATGGCATTTACATTTTTTTTAACTAAATAATATAATTGCCTGTCAGCAGGTGAGGCTCACTCGATAAAGTTTGGGAGATGTGTGTAATTTTACTTTTTCAATTACCCTTTACTCATCTTCATTCCAAAACGTAGTGCTTCTTCACCTCCCTCGCTGTTTGAAATGCTCACTGGAATATACACTAGGATACAGCACGTGGGCCTAAACATCGACGTGATGTATGCTGAACTTCTTTCGCTCCGTACGTAGCCAACCGTGCGAGTCGAAGGTGAGAATCTACGCATCGTTCCAGACCTACGGGGAGGCTGGGCAGCTACTGTCCCCACCAGGGTGTTGAACCGACACGGCTCGTGTTCCAGCCTCAAACGTTACCACGATACGTGAGCGGCTTCTCGATTATACATCAGACCGGTGACCCATACAGCCCTCGCAAATTCTCCACTGTTAAACTATGACGAAGGTATCTTAAAATTCACGTTTAGCTGCTTGTCAGTCGACTGCTGGGTGCAGGCTTCACCACGCATTGTCGACCTCCGGGGATTGTTTGTCCAAAGTGAGCGCGGCTCGGTGACGGGGAGACGTCGCCCTAGAACCCGTTGAAACATCACTCACCGCTGACATTGTCCACGGCCGAAAATCAAACTCGGGCTGTCAGATTCATCGCGCAGCGCGCTCGCCGCTGCACAGCCGCTCCCGTCTTAACAAGGTTCACCCCCCCCCCCCCTTGCCTTACAAGCGAGGCGAATAACCGTGCTTACATCGATGCTTCAATTGGCCATAGGTCAGCTGCCTGAGGATCCTGCTGTGTCGCCAAATTGCCGGGGCGGCTTGATAACGCGGCGCTTTGGTGAACGGTTCACTGGGCAGCAGCAGCAGCTCTGTTGCTGTCACGGTCGCGTTCGGCTGCTGTCCGCACGTGGGTGCTGAACCCCCGCGCTGTGCAACGACGTGGGACTCGGTGCATAAATCACTTCGGCGACCGCATTTGCGTTTAATTGGGGGGGAAAGCTTCCCTCGTCCCCACCCCCCCCCCCCCAAAACAGCAAAAGTTAATTGACGATGGCGCAGACAATGCAATAAGCTCCGTGATGGATTGGAGCAGATGCCACTTAGAGTAATAATTCAGAAATTATGACTTTGCGATGCCACTCGTGCATCACACGCGGCGCGCCGAGCATCCTCAAGGTCACGGGAGAGAATTAACGAGAGGTAAAATTAACGCGAGAGAAAAAAACAACGCGCGGGAACGTGATGTAAATTGGAAGATCTCGTTAAGATGATTTCAAAACTCTCTTCGTCTCCGAGTGACCTTGATACACCTTAAATGCATCATCTGATAGGTGCTTATTAAGCCCTATTTAAAGCCACGATGGACGAAAGCTCTCTGCTCATTAGTCAGAGAGGTTAAGAAAAAAATAATGACAGAATAGACTTTGTTTATCCCCGGAAGCAGCAATGAGTTTCAAGAATTGGCATCTTATGCGTGCGTGGCCAATTCCTTATTTGTACTCTTTTGCCTGTTGGCTGCAAAGTGAGTACTGTGCCGAGAGTAAACCCAGATGCGGGGGGGACAACACGTCAAGGTGTGTGCCCCGACGCGAGTAACCATTCTTGGTGTACTCTTTGGGTCATTCGGTCAAGTCACGTAAATAGAAATAATAGATCACGACGTTCCGATCGCAACACAAGCAAACGTCTTCAGGCGAGAGAGAGGAGCTCTCCTCTATTATTTCTGTTTACGTGACTTGACCGAATGACCCAAAGAGCGTGAATTCCTGCAGTCACGAAAGCTTTAAATGAAGATTCACTCTTGGTGTGCCACCACGTGCTTGGCACGCGCGCGACGCGTCGCAGGCGAGTGTCGCGGTGCGTGCGCGACTCTCGCGGCTCGAGCGGCAGGGCGACGAGCGAGCGCGTCGCGGCGCCCGGACCGGCTGACGTGCCCGTCACGTGCATGCCGCCAGGTGCGTGCTAGCCACTCCGCGTCGAGAGCTGGAGTGAGCATCACGCTTAGAGCCACGGGCCACTGGCGTTGAATAGCTGTATAGAGAGAGAGATAGAGAGGAGAGAGATGTATTCATAAGAACTATGAGAAAAATGCGAGCTAGGATCGAGAAGCATTGAGACGAGCGCTCCATGTGTGAGATTGGAGAGCGATGCAATCGGGAGGTGGGTGTGAAGGATGTCTCTTCAGTTGACGGTCGACGTTCGAAATGGACTGCAACCCTCAAAGGAACTGCGCTCCCCCCCCCCCGTCGCCCCCAACCTCTCACCCCGTGATCCGTGGATCAAACAAATACATCGAGACGCCGGTGTATGGCAGCCAAGAGCAGTTCATGCGAATGCCGTCGCAAGACGTCACGCGTTTGGCGCAAACGGTCCTTAGCTGACTGTGCCCGATGAATAAATGGATGAAAAGAGTTGTTTTGGGTTATATCGCGTACATTGTCGCCTACGTGTTGTTAAACTGAGTGTATGAAGTCTGGCGAGGCGGAGCGCATGGGCATGAATGACAACGCTCGTGGCCCCAACGTCTACCCAGACGCGCACCCTCGCTGACCCCCCCCCCACACGCCACCACGTGGCCTGCACGGTGTGACCGAGGCCGCTCGCTCAATTATTCCACAACGTTCGCGTACTCAAGCCTGACTTACTCACACGTGGAATAATTAAGTTGATTCGTTTGAACGCCGCAGCTGGCTGCTGCTGCTGCTGAGAGGAATAAGTCCGAGTGATGTCGCGGGGTCGGTTTTGGTCCATGGGTCATAGACGGTGGTTTGGAAGTCGGTGCTTAGGTTCGGACGGCAATATTTGGGAACGCTGTTCTGGGAACTATTTTCGGCACGCCGCATCCATCTTGCCTTGTTGTGGAAAAAACATCGACGGAGAAGCGAAGCCGCGTGAACGTGCGCTCGCGGCTTAACGTCAAACGGTTTCCACCGCGCAGATTTTCCTGCACGGGAACAACCTGACGAGCCTGCACCAGCTCCTGCACCCCGAGATCCTGCCCTCGGAGTTCGGCGGGAACCTGCCCCCCTACGACATGGGCACGTGGGCACGCGCGCTGCTGGGCCCCGGCTACGACGACAACGACGCGGAAGGGGCCGGCGCGCCACACGCCACGCTCGACGGCGGCGGCGACGGCGGCGGTGGCGGCGGCGGCCTGCTGATCGTGGGCCGGCCCGGCGCTGCGGAGGAGCAAGAAGACGGCGGATGCTGCTCGCAGCGCCACATCAAACGGTCGGTTCTTTTGCGCGCGGGTGACGATCGCCGATCGCGTCGACTGCAATTGGCGCGCGTGAATGCCGCGCATCGACGCATTTCTGTTTGCGGTTAACATTTCTGCTGAATGACATTTAGATGAATGCAGGGTCCTATCTTAGCTTAACGAGATCCGTGAAGCGCCTTTACCAAGGCGCTTTACAGCGTCCATAAAATTGTACATAGCATGATCATAATTTGTAACGAAGAATTAGGTTATTGTAAGCAGTGGTGTAGTTATGATGCAGTAAAACAAGAGAGATTGATAAGGAGGGGTTAGGATAGGCCTGGTCGTAGCTGCGGGGGGGGGGGGTGGGGTGACATAAAGCTGGGGAGGCTGAGAAGTAATGAGGCATCATTGCATTGGGAAGACAAAGTGGGGGGCGGTGGGGGGCTGGAGCCAGCAGGGAGAAGTGGGGGGGGGGGGTCTCCGCACCGCCGACGACGTCCACGAAACGTCCACGCAGTGCAGCAGCGGAGTCCTGGGGGCGGGGGGGGGCGACGAGGAAGAAAACTAAGATGCAAAATGAGACTATGAAAATGACACTTGTAATCAATTCTTGAATTGATTTCAGAGCCCAAGTTGTGACAATTCATTGAACCGCTGGGGTAATGAATCATCGCATGCCGATGCATTGCTGACGGCTATTGCAGATGCTCGACCTGAATGTAAATCACATTAGCAACATAAAAATGACGCCCGTTTTGTAATCCACAGTTGGGTGACGGCCTCCCCATGCCATTCGTAGGGGGTTGTTTGTTGGTCTACAGAAGTACAGCGCAACAATGGGATTGTACTGCTGTGCCTCCTGCTGCCTGCCACGTAGTAGCCCTTGTAACCTATAACGTGACGACAAGGCCATCCGTGCACTGTTGAGGCTCAACCCCGTTTAGATTCCGAGATGTGAGAGGTCGAACGCGCACTGCAGGTGGCTTGGTCACCAGGCACCGTTATCCCGGATCATTCGGCCTCCCTTGCATCCTCCGCCCGTCGCTTTCTTCTCTGCACGCCATCACGGAGGCGCCCGCGCTCCAAACCTTTTAAGTGGTCAATTAATGCTTTCGTTTTTCATCTTTTTCAAATGGGTGTTGTTTCAAACCCGCATTTTGTATGCTGTTTGTTGTGCTCACCAACCGACCGGTGGGTGCGTGGGTGGGTGGGTGCGTGGGCGGGTGGGCGGGTGTGTGGGCGGGTCCGTGGGCGGGTGGGCGGGTGCGTGGGTGGGTGCGTGTGTGGGTGGGCGAGTGCGTGGGTGGAATGTACATGGGTGAGTGGCTGAGTGGGTGGGTGCGTACGTGCAGCGTAAACTGATTGTGTAAACAATTGTTTATTTCGGTGATGATTGCCAGATGTTGGTAAATTGTCCCTTGCTGCAAATCGGTCAGGGCTGCATGCCCAGTCGCTGAGGCAGGGAAGATGCCTGTGAACCACAGTGCATATGGGCACGTCATTGCTGCTGCCGTTATTGATTATAATTATAATGTGGAGATGATTATGATAATGATGATTACATGTGGTAAAATACACTATTCAAAAGGCGTTTAAGATATTATCTTCTATATTTTCACTTATCTCGATTAGGACGGTTGGTTACATATGGTGCGAAAGACGTTCAACATACGTGTTACATGCATAGAACATACGTCCAACATACAGCCAGCGAGCAACACCAGATGTTGAAAAATTGTCCCTTGCTGCAAATTGGCCAGGGCTGAATGCCATATCCATGTGAATCGCAGTGGCCAAAACCAATTCAAAATGTGGGAGAGAAACAAAGTTCCACTTGGTTTTGTAACTTTACTTTAGATTTTGTTAAAGCGAATGATACATTATCAAGCTAGAAGAACAGTTAAATTAAAATCGAATAATATTTTTTAAGTGGAACCATTTATAGAAGCCTCCCGACAGATGCGATGGAACACAGCAAACAAACTACCCACGTTGGTTGGCGAAATTGTTAAACTGATTGAAATTTGTTGGATGACGTTGGCATTCGCCACGCATTTGTTTAATATTCTCACTGCAGCTTAGCTGGGTTAATCTTTTACGAATTTAGGCTTCAAATTATCCTCTCACACCACCCCCACCTCGCCACCCTCCCACCTTCCCCCCTTCACGAGTTGAGTCCAGACTTGACTATTTTATTTTATCATGTCATGCTGCATTATAAAGGCACCTCAACTGGTTTCTGGATCACGTGACCTAACCCGCAGACCTTAAATTGTAATCACGTCGGGGATGCCATTGCAGTGTAACGGTAAGAACATTCGCGTTGCACGAAAAAAAGCCTCACTCTTTCAAATGACGTCTGGTTATCTTGGAAGAGTAGGCCAAACGCTGTCTGAAGGGTACTCTCCAGAACTATATACTTCCATTACGTGCTTCATATTCGCATCTCATCAGATGAGCATTACCATTTTACTTTATTTTACGCGATTATGCGCACTTACCTGCTTTCGGAACGCCAGTTTGTGTTTTGCCTGCTGCTTTTCAATCCTGGGCTGATGAGCCAAATCCTGCAATCTGCGTCGGTTTCAAGGTTAAAAGATTCGGAGCAAATGAGCCCAGACGCAGTGGAATGTACAATCGCATCACAGCGTGCACTTTTGGCTTGGCAAGCGGTTGGAAATGTCATTAACTGTTTCCGGATGAAACTCTTTGTTAACACGAACAACCGCAAAAAATAAAACGCGTCGTAATTACGAGGTCCTTACTCGACTCAATGTGTCATGGCCCACGTGCGCGGTTCCGTCTGTCAGTGCCGCAATTCTTGAGCGAGGGACAGTTAAGCAAAGTCATTTTTTTTATTATCTTCGATACATTTGTGCATAAATGTGTTGCACACTCCATTTACTCCGTTAATGACAACACGTCCTGCACCAGCAACGTTAATGTGAGATAGGTTTTTTGGTTTGTTGCAGCATTGATTTAAAATGTTCCTCGATGTTTTGCACATATTTTGCACTTAATCTGCAAGTTCACAAGATGTCGTTGCAGTTTGCCAGGTCAGTCTGCCAAGCTGGCAATGCTGAGATTCTAAGTTCGAATCCAGGCAAGCTTCCTGTCTTTAAACCTTGCTCTTAATTGTAGCGAGGTGATGATCTGCGCTCGGTCACCGATGACTGCACAAAAAAAACGATCGCGTTAAATGTTGATATTGCATTCAAATTGGCAGGCACTGTGCGTACATATATGTCACGCTGCCTTGGTGCAGAGTGTTTAGTGTCGCATTGTCCCTTTAAACCGGGCAGGTGGCTCAGCGGTGGAGTGAGCGGCTCACAAAGTTGCGGAGTTCAGATCCTGATTGGGGGGAGGGGAGCTTGACTCGACCCATCAACACTTTGTGGTCACTACAATCAGTACCACTTTGTGAGAAAGTCAGAATCAGAATCTTTATTTATGCTGGAAGAATCCGATTATCTATGAAGCTCTTTTTTTACAGATGTCCGGTAAGTCAACAGTGGTTGTCCTGTAGATAGACTCACCCCCGCCATAGGCATGTGGAATTTCCACCACTGGCTCAGATCTGTGAACAGGAGACGGGCACTTGTGCATTTGAGCAGAAAATCACCGTGACGTCATTTATGTCCACTTACCAAGGGATGAACTCTTTTTTTCTGGACGGTTGCTACTGGAGGTGTTTCAAAACTTTTATTCCTCACTGTTATATTTTTTTGTAATTTTTTTTTTAAATAAATGTCTCATTCCTGTGTAGTGGGTACAAATGGAGAGGGAGAGAGACTTCTCTGGAGGCAACACGTTTATCATAACAATAACAAAAGCCCTAACACAAAGGGGTATCTGCCCCTTCCACCAGGTAACCTAAGCAGGTTGTCCCTCCGGGCTGACGAGGCCCTCACACAACTGGGGAGGCTACCAGAGACCGGACCCCGACTCGGGTCTTGTCTTCGGGGCTTCTGTTCAGGGTGGCGGCTTCAGGTCTTCAGGTGTACAACAGCAGCCGGACCCGTTCAGGGGTCCGCCTTATATAGTCAGCCCCGGGGCTTACTCCGCCCCGAGCCACGCCTCCCTTCTCGAGCCTTCGAGAGGGACCTGGTTCCGTGGTCCCCCAGCCCCCTCTTTGGGGGCCCCGGGCCGGTAGCTCCGGTCACCTGGCCCCTCTGGGTTCATACAGAGTGCCACGGCCCCCTGTGAACCCTTCCATCACGCCTGGCACTCTCGCCCCCTATACACACAGCCCGGCTCACGCATCATGCAGTGGCATCCCACGATGCCACTTCACCTGTAAGGAACTTGCACGGCAGGAATGGATTTTCTAACTTGAGGTGCGGTTTAAATGACAGCCCGGGCCGGTGGCAAACGCAGCCGCCGGGGGAATGAATCCGACAACCCTGAAGCTTCAACGCGCAGCCACCGTGCGCTTCGTCAACCCTTTAACCAGAGCTGGCGTGGCCTGAAGCAATCGGGCGATGTCATCAAGCAGAGTAGTTAGGTTTGAAAAAAAATCCTGGCGTCTTTTCTCGGAGCTTCATTATTATTATTAAAGAAGCTGTTCATAGGCTGCTTGTGCATTCACGTGCAGTCTTATTCTGGCAGCACAAGACGCGCGGTAATGAATGTTATAACTCAGAGCGGCGTCCGTTTTTTTTCACCGCATGTGTGTGAGCACATTGAGATTTATGACCGCTTTTACGAAGGAGACCCGGGACCCGCTGTCACGAATATATATACCCCGCGTCCAACGGGGTTAAAGATTTGGTACATTGTGGACGGCAGAGGGAATAACAAATACATTGTTGGACTGTACTTCTGTGCGCTTCATCCGTGCTTGCAGTCTTCATGTACCAATCCGCGCTGACCGGCGTGGTGAAGTATGGTCAAGTAACCCAGACGCACATTCAATCAGCATCCTCACCGTGGACTTGTGGTGCCCTTGTGGGGGTCGCTAGCCCCCGAAATCCCTCCCTCGATAATGCTAACGGCCGGGCTAGCATCATCAATTGCCCCCCCGCTGCTA